ATGCCCATACATATCCCGAAGAAAGTTCTACAAAGATTAAGACCATTAGGTCATCGGAGATTTGTCAATGGCTACCACTGATGGTGCAATAATACAGTTTGTGTTGATCAAGTGATGTGATGTCTACAGTAAGAAAAGAATCATCAATGACTGCTTTGGAGTGTGCACTGCGTTACGACGGTAGTGCTAAGCAAACAGTTAAATTTTAAAAGCGCGGTTATAAGATCTAACAGATCTTGTTCTCGATAAAATAAAACTGCATATAAGGAAGAACATTTCTAGTTCGTTTACGCGTGTCTTCCGATGGAATTGGCTAAAAATCGGCAGGTATGTTCTAGGATACCTCCTTCGAAAAATCGTGCCGGGCTTTGTTTAATTTTGCTTCCGTTTCAAAGTTATGGCCTCTTTTGTAGAAGGAAATGTCCACATTAAAAATATCAAAGTTTAGGAGGGTGTAGAAGAAAAACCAAACCACATCTGAAAAATCGTAGACATGATTTTTGAGGGTGACGTGTGAGAAAACATTTCCGATGTAAATCGCGCCGCTCCGATAACTCACGCGCGGAAGCGAACCAGTTTAAGCAAAGCAGTGTTCCTGGGTATTTATTTTAATATCACTGCGACAATAACTTTTTAGAAAATTTCAAAGATATGATTGTATTCTATAACTATTAAGCTTTCAGAAAATGTATAGGTTGATGGGGTTTTCCTTCAAAGCGCTGGCGTAAGAGCGCGATTTCCAAATACTGTCAATCCACCTACCATGATACCTTAAGGACGTTTGAACGCAAATTTTCCAGCCGATAGATTTGTTTTTGCATTTGATAGAACACAGTTCTAATCCCATAATGACAAAAAAAAATTGTTCAGGGGCGAATGATGTCATGTCCATGTTTGTCCATGTGCTTTCTTTTGAGTGTTGTGCACTATTGCAGACTTTCGAGTGTCGAGGAAGCTTATTGTGGACTGTAGCAGATACTGAAGTTGTTTACTTAAAGTTCAAAGTCAGTGTTAATGGCTGTTACCGCCATATCGCGAAGCCAATCTCAATCGGTCTCCAAACATCGTTTTAAAAAGGGAACACACGTTAAAGTTTATTCACGACAATGAGTTTGACTGAAAATAGAACAAAAATAAACAATTATTTACAACATTAGATGGCTGAACGGACAAACCCCGAACTTACAGCTTTTTCCTGAAATGAATGATTGACCTCTGGTGGACGATGATCGCAAAAAGGAAATTATAAGAACAGCGACAATGACTAGCTCTAATATAATTCAAAGGGATGTTAGTTTGACCGTTGCCACAGAATTTAAACTACTAGTCTTATTAACATATTGACCTCACGCGCCGCGCGAAAATATCAGATGTCCCGCGGGGCCTCTTGTAAGCATAATTAGCAAGAGTGTTACATTCCCGCCCCTAAATGCGACATTCTATAGCATTTACCAAACAATAGTGTAACATTCGCNAATAAACAATTATTTACAACATTAGATGGCTGAACGGACAAACCCCGAAAAACACAAACTTACAGCTTTTCCCGAAATGAATGATTGACCTCTGGTGGACGATGATCACGAAAAGGAAATTATAAGAACAGCGACAATGACTAGCTCTAATATAATTCGAAGGGATGTTAGTTTGACCGTTGCCACAGAATTTAAACTACTAGTCTTATTAACATATTGACCTCACGCACGCGTGAAAATATCAGATGTCCCGCGGGGCCTCTTGTAAGCATAATTAGCAAGAGTGTTACAATGGCATTTAAAAATCTTGTAGACATGTCTTCAAGAAATGTGCACGACTTTTTGAGGCAGCTTATTGAAGACTGTGGCAGATAAGTTGTTTATTTACAGTTCGAAGTCAGTGTTAATGGCATTTAAAAACCTTGCAGACATGTCTTCACAAAATGTGTACCACTTTTTGTACGAACAGAAAGCTGTAGTTTGGCTGCATGTTGTGTACCCTCTTCTCTTCGACCGAAACCAATGCTGCTTTCTCCTGAGTAAATCAAAGGAGGAAATGAGTTTCACTTCGCTGGCCTAGATTTCTGTGCGCAAGCTATGTAACGTAAACCCAACAAAAGTGTTTACATAGGAAATGAGTTCAACTCCCACAGGGTTGCTTTGGTACACGAACATGTCCTCTGTTTCATTGTTTCGGAAGGGAAAATGCCCTGTAGCTGTTACCCCAAAGTCAAGGCGATTCAAAGTCGTGTTTGTAAACAAAATAATTGTCCTAGTTTTGGTAGTAAAAGCACATCGTCTCGCATACCCATGGAACAAACATGGTTGGTGTCGATTTACAAGGTCAGTATAAAACACACACTGTGGACTGCGGACTGCTGACTGCGGACTGCAGACTACGGACTGGGTTTAAAACACAGACTTATGTATAATATTACACAATACATGTATAAATGAGAACAAACCCTCTCGTATGCACATGTTTTGCAATCAATTCATTTGTTTTTGCCCCTGCTGAAGGGAGACCAATTTCACACCTACATACCAGGCCTACATACCAGGCCTACCAAAACTCAAACACACTCTTTAATCTACGATTACTACTAGTTTAATTTTTACTGCAGTCAGATAATGAGTTACTTGTGTCAGAAATGCAAAAGAAATTGTGGGTTACCAAATTTGTTACAGAGATAAGGTGTGTGGAAAACTACCCTGATTTTGAAAAACCGGACACATAATTCAGCATTTTCTACAGGGTTTTATAGTTAAAAATATCAAAGGTGAGTCAACAGAGGAAAACAATCTTAGTCATATTTTGTAGAAGTGGGTCTGTTGCGTAAATAATTCCAAATGCTGCCAACGTTTTCACAAAACTTAACCCTTCAAGAGGCATTTGAAACCACCGCACGGATAAAGAGAAAGCTAGAAAGAATGGAATTCAGTGGTGCATTTTGCCAAGACTTCTAATCAATAGATTTTCTTCATTTTCTCACTAAATGTAAAAAATCGGTAGAGAAAAATGATCCATCAAAAGAAAAATAGGGGTCACTGAATGTCCAATACTGTTAAATCCAGGCAGTGCTATAGCAATGGCCATCTGCCCTATCATTGTTCATTTTATTACTTAGCATGTGCTCGATGCATGACGTAGTGTGTGAATTTGCTTACGCAGTAAGGATGCGCAGAAACAATTAGTGCAAATGTCCTTAAGATCCATTGATTTGTATCGTCATTACATTGTAAAAGTTTATTTTACCATTAGAATATATGAGGGTATAAAAAACAAACTTGATTAGAACTTGAATTCTTAAGTGGAAACAAGTATTTTGATTGCTACACAGACATCTACTGTACCACTTTAACAATCAGACTACAACACTGAGTTTCAAATGAGTAAACAGTCCATGAGGCCTCACCGAGTTGACTATAATGCTCATTGGAAACAAGGGTGAGTAGTCTAACTGTTTTAGTAGACACTGAAAAGGATTACAGCACAAAAGCTGCAATTTTGAGTATTTTTAAGCTTAACATTAAGACTAATTTTTAGTTTCAAGAACAGCATGCAAGCAATCATTGTCAATATCAGCATTTTCTTTTGTTGTTATTGTCTTTCACTCAAACGAAGTTCTGAAAAGACATTTTTAATTTCTAAATTTGTTTTTGATACGATTAAGTAGTAATTGGACCTTGTGTTATACAATGTGCTGTTCCAGAAAATATCCATACTCCCCCCACAGAAGGGATTGGAATTTCCTGGGGAGGGGGGTTTCTTTAAGAGTGTATGAACTTAATTGAAATTTCCAGAGGGGCAGGGCAGTCTAAGATAAAATCCCTTCTGCGGGGGAGGTATGGATATTTTCTGGAACTACACAATTCAGGGAGTAATCATACTCATAATTTCAATCAGCTCACCCTTCGTCCTTGTCCAATTTTTAAATTACTTGCACGATTACTCCCTGTATTGAATTCAGGTAAATTATTGAAAAAGGAATGGGGTTTTTGTTGCTAAAAAAAAAATTGTACTCCACTCGGTCCAATTACTATTAATAATAGTTAATAATCATAACTCAGTGATGTATACTAGAGCATGAATCAATATTTTTATTGTGAAAAGCCCAGTTTACTTACACATAAAATTGAACAGGAGAGAATTCCTTTCTTTTCCTGATCCTGGCATGGTTTCATACACTAAAGAATTCAACATTCACTGATTTAAGTTATATTGTCACAATTGCAGCTTTACTGTCTGCTCTTCTTCACATATATATTATTTGATTAATAGTTTTACAAATTAACATACCCTTAATATTGGTTACTGAGAACAGCCTGGAGCACCCTTCAATAGCTTATCATATACTAGTCCACCATCAAATACCAACCACTAACCCTAAACTATCCTTATTATTGGTTCATCCAGTTCATTTCAGCATTCCTCAGTTCGGTGGTACTTATGTTTAATAACTGGCTATTCCATTGAAACATCAAGGGGTAGTATGGGTCAGGGGGATTAAGTCTAACATGCTCAACTTAACCATTAATTAAGATGTTTTTCAATAGGCTTATTTGCCCACTTGAGCTGTGAAGACTATCACCTATGATGATGTGTTACATAGACAGCGCTCCAAGCTGCGACCATTTTGGTAACCATGGCAAGTGAAAAAAATACTTGGCGACTAAAATTTTGACGAAAGTTGCCAATTGGCGACCAAAAGATTATAAAAGAAACTTACTTGGAAAATTAATCAATGTTTGGTCGAATTATCAAAAGTAAAAACGACTGTGTCACCGGTCTTTCTCTTTCTCGCCGTTCCGCTACTCGATACAAATGCGTAAACCTAAAATGAGCGTAAACTGGGAAGAAACCAAACTATGCTTCCTGTACTCTGCTGAGGAGCAGAACTTACATCCACCCTGACAGAAGCTGACAGAGACAGTTCTCTGTTGAGACGCTTCAGTGACCACAGACAATTTGCCGCCCCGGTCGACCTGCTGGCGGTGAAATCCACGCCTTGTTTCGACTCTCTCGGCAAGATTGAATGCTACAGGATTTTCAATGTGTTTATAATAAAAATAACTTTATTTGAGGGCGTTTCTGTCTTCTTTTGTGTATTTCATATAAGTTTTAGGGCATGGTCTTATGGAAAACAAGAAGATCTTTGAGATCTTATAACCACGCTTATAACATAACTAAAGCAAAGCGCGTGCTCTGATTGGTTAATTTAGCGTCTACTATTTGCCCATGGGTGTACGCTGCTGACGTGTGTGCAAATGTTTACAAAGCAAATCTTTTGACAGACATTGTTTCCAAAGTAATGGCCGACGTCCTTCTCCCAGAAATGCAAAACTGTCTTCGCAGTTGTGTGAAGATGAAACTTTATCGAGTTACTGGTGTGCAGTCGGTTGTCATGAATGAATTTTCATGCACTTGTTTTCTCTTATCATGTGAGACTACATGAACATTTTTTTGTGATGTAGCTCAATAAAAGGACTTCTGTTGTTCCAATGTCTCGATGTTATGTTATAAAACAAA